AAGGCGAGTTAAAATAAACATGGGGAATATTTATAAGGCAAATAAATCTGGCAGAAACAGCCCCTCCAAGTGTGAGTGGAGGCCTCCCCTCAGCCCCAGCCCAAGCTGATAAAATACAGAAATGCTACTGTAGACCCTCCGGGCTTATTTTGACTGCGGCAGAGGAATGTAACATGTAAACACTGACTCCCATATTACACTGTTACAACTTGCATTAACAGCGCCGGACAAAAGCCGCATTTTCACAGAAGCATCGTACAGGGATATATCTCCAGCTTAATTTTTAAAAAAAACCATTTCCTCACATAAATCATGCTCAGAACGAAACGGGTGACTGATACATTGCAAACACTTTTTTTCTTAAACAATAACATACCTAGATTCCTTCTAAACGAAAGAGCTTAAAAAAAATCTTCTAAATGTTTTTTTTCTGAAGAAAATAAACACTGCAGTTTCTTTCCCGACCAAAATATCTGGGGCCGTGTCTTCCTGGCCGAGCTGGCTGCCCCCAGCACAGGGTTGCAGAGGAGCGCTCCCCAGACCCCAGCCACCTTGCCGGGCAGCCAGCAGGAGCAGGGTACCCAGAGCGCCAGGCCGCTTCCCCAGCCCCAAGCGGGCAGCCTCTGAGGGGAATGGGTGGGACCAGGGTGGAGAAAGCGCTGGCCTGCAGTGACCGGCCCTGAAGTCCCCAGCAGACTTCCTTGGGCTGCCGGACATCCAAAGCCACTTCCCTGCAGACAAAGCATCCTGCAGGGGCTGGACAGGCATCCAGACTCCACCCAGAGAAGCCAATGCAAAAGACAGCCAGAGCCACTGGCAGGACTCAGGACGTCGGGTGAGGACAGGACCGCACAACGTGCACCGGGGCCCGGGCAGCCCATCTCCACCACACCACAGAAGAACTGCAGGCAGCCCAAGGATGTAAAAGAGAATCCGACTTGTGGATGCCCGTAAGGAAAATGCAGGGCTTAAAAAAAATACCTCGGGGGTGGGGCAGGCCTTTCTGAACATGTAATAAATCAAAAAGCCATTAAGTGTAAAAGATTTAAGTTACATTAAAAAAAAAAGTTAAACCATTTGTACCAGGCCCAAGTTAAAAGACACCAGAAGCTGAGAAAATCTGCACCGCGAGTGACAGAGGATCACATCCCTAATACACAAACCAGCTGGAGGGTAAGAAGAGAGAAGAGAAAAGCCAGACAGGAAAGTGGGCAGGGACGGACCGTGCTGGCGACCCGCACGGCGCAGCAGGCACGCTCATCTCAAACAAGGCTGTGAAACGAGGTTTTCCACATTGGTAAGTGAAAAGGCCACTGATCACAGCAAATGCATACAGTCAGATCATGTGTAACCCGGCAGATAGTCAAAGATAAAAAAAACAGTCCAGGTGCAGGAGTTCACGCCTGTAATCCCAGCACTTTGAGAGGCCAGGGTGATCACTTGAACCCAGGAGTTCGAGGCTAGCCTGGGCCACATAGCGAGTCCTTGCTCTAAATAAAAAAATTTTAAAGTAGTAATTAGCTGGGCGTGGTGGGCGCCTGTAATCCCAGCTACTCGGGAGGCTGAGGCAGGAGAATTGCCTGAATCCAGGACTTCAAGGCTACAGTGAGCCATGATTGTACCACTGCACTCCAGCTGGGCGACAGAGCAAAGACTGTCTTAAAGATAAAAAACAAAAACAAAAAACAACAGATAAACAGATGACCTGGAAATTAGGGCACAGCAGGAAAGAGTGATTGCTCTGACAACAGAAAAACTTACAATTTCTGCACGAAATAGTATCACCAAGTCCAAAGACAAGCCAGAGTCAGGGCTCCAATGGAAGGCAGCGGGCAGTTGATGGGAACCAGGGCAAGCCTGGTAGCCTCAAGAGGGCGTGGGTGCGCCATGGGCAGCAGTGACCGTGGCCCAGCCCAGGGGCATGGGAGGAGAGGCTCCTTTCTGTTTCATGTCTAATCAAAAGGCTGATGCCTGAGTTACCAAGGACGGGGAAGGGGGCAGAATATGCATGGAATCAGTGTGACTGGACATCAGCACAATGTCTTAAGATCAAAGGGCAGCTCCCCTCATACCCAGCTTTTCTACTTCGAGGAGAGACCCCCGACAGGGATGTAAAGTGTGTGAGACCACCCCACAGCCACTGGGACGGCCGCCGTCAAAAACACAGAAAACAGCAAGCCCAACAGGGTCTAAAGGAAAAAATAAAAATTAAAGAAGGAAAGAAAAGCAGAAAACAACACTTGCTGGCAAGGATTCGGGGACCCGAGTCCTCCCGAACCGCTGGTGAGAATGGAAGATGGTGCAGCCACCGTGGGAAACAGGATGGAGGTCCTCAAGACCATATGATCCCGCAATCCCACTTCTGGGTTTGCACCCAAAAGAATTGAAAGTAAGGTCTCCAAGAGGTATTGGCACGCCCATGTTCACAGCAGCACTATTCACAACAGCCAAGAAGCGGAGGCAACTCGGGTGTACACTGACAGGTGAATGGATGAACAAAATGTGCTGTAACTGTACAATGGAATATTACTCAGCCCTAAAAAGAAGAGAATTCAGGGGAGCCGCGGTGGCTCCGGCCAGTTGTCCTGGCGCTTGAGGAGGCGAGGCTATGAGTTCAAGGCATGTAACCTGAGCAACATAAGAAGCTCTCACTGATTAACAACAACAACAAAACATTTAAAAGAAGAGATGGAGATATAACGTGGATGAAAAGAGTTCCAGAGATGGAGAGTGGTGATGGTGCCACGACATGATGAGTATATTTAACACCACGCAAGTGCACACTTAAACATGGTGAGAGTGGGCTGGCCGCAGCGGCTCACACCTGTAATCCCAGCATTTTGGGAGGCCAAGGCAGGTGGATCACCTGAGGTCAGGAGTTCAAAACCAGCCTGGCCAATATGGTGAAAACCCATCTCTACTAAAAATACAAAAATTAGCCAGGTGTGGTGGCGCATGCCTGTAGTCTCGGCTACTCAGGGGGCTGAGACAGAAGAACTGCTTGAACCCGGGAGGTGGAGTTTGCAGTGAGCTGAGATTGCAGCACTGCACTTCAGCCTGGGCAAGAGAGTGAGACTCTGCCTCAAAAAAAAAAAAGTAATAATAAAGTGGTAAATGTTATACTATGTGTTTTATCACAACGAATAATTGGGATAATGTGTCAGAAGCACTTATAATGGTATAAAGAGATGCACCTCGGCCGGGCGCGGTGGCTCACGCCTGTAATCCCAGCACTTTGGGAGTCCGAGGCGGGTGGATCACGAGGTCAAGAGATCGAGACCATCCTGGTCAACATGGTGAAACCCCATCTCTACTAAAAATACAAAAATTAGCTGGGTGTGGTGGTGCGTGCCTATAGTCCCAGCTACTCAGGAGGCTAAGGCAGGATTGCTTGAACCCGGGAGGCGGAGTTTGCAGTGAGCTGAGATTGTGTCACTGCACTCCAGACTGGCGCCTGGCGACAGAATCAGACTCTGTCTCAAAAATAAATAAATAAATAAATAAATAAAAATCAGAGAAAGGTCAAAGGAACTACACAACTTCCATTCAGGGGAATCCAGTCCTGACCCACACAAAGATGCCCTGTGAAGTGAGAAATAATGACAAGCAAAACATGTGACACACCACTCACACACGTGCACACGCAAACGTGCACAGCACACACATCTGCATGCACACCATGCATATACTGGCACGCTCAGAGGTGGGACCCTTTTCCACTGCTATTTTCTCCCTGGGAAGGCTAGAGACCGCTATTGACCAAGCCTCTGCCGCCCTCTGGTGGCCGCTCTGGTCCCTGCCAGCATGAAGTCTCCACACCCCACAGGCGGGAGCTGCCTGGACCTGGGACCTCGGGATAGCCTCTCTGTGGGCATCGGAAGGCACTTAGTGACTCTGCACCTGCTCCCACGGGGAGTGACAGCCACTTGCACGCTGCTAGTCTCCCTTCCACAACCAAGGTGTTGCTTCTGAGGCCTCCGGAGCCTTTGCTAGATTTCAGGGAAACCCAATGTGCGAACCAGAAGACAGTGAGGGTGTTAGATGAGGGCTGGGGTAGGGATTGCCGGCTCTCCCCTCCTTAATGTTCTCCCTGATGTCCCTGATAGGACCCACTGGAATCCCAGGTCTCCTGGGAAACCCATTTGACAAGGACTGACCTAGATAACAAACAGCTTGACTCCCTTTATATGGCATTCGTGCTATTACCTTCAAGGAAGCCACAAGACAGGGTACATCGACAGCCCTTCAGAGGGGCACAAGTCACAGGCTTATTGTTTTGAGACAAGGTCTCACTCTCTCCCAGGCTGAGTGCGGTGGTGGAATCACAGCTCACTGCAGCCTCAACCTCCTGGGCTCAAGCAATCCTCTCACCTCAGCCTCTCAAGTAGCTGGGACTACAGGTGCATAGTACTATGCTTGGTGAATATTTTAAGATTTTGGTAGGCTGGGCGTGGTGGCTAGTACCTATAATTTCAGCACTTTGGAAGGCTGAGGTGTGCAGATCACCTGAGGTCAGGGATTCAAGACCAGACTGGCCAACACGGAGAAACCCCGTCTCTACTAAATATACAAAAATTAGCCAGGTGAGGTCGTGAGCGCCTGTACTTCCAGCTACTCAGGAGGCTGAGGCAGGAGAATCACTTGAATCCAGGAGGCGGAGGTTACAGTGAGCCGAGACTGAGCCACTGCACTCCAGTCTGGGTGACAGAGTGAGACTCCATCTCACAAACAGAAGATTTTTGTAAAATCAAAGTCTCACTATATTACCCACGCTGATCTCGAACGCCTGGCCTCTAGCAGTCCAATGCCCCTGCCTCAGTCTCCCAAAGTACTAAGCTAGCAAGCATGAGCCACCGTGCCGGGCCACAAATGACAGGCCTTTTCTCCTTTTACGTAAACTGGAAAGAAAACCCCAGGAGCCAAGCACCAGCACAGGCTCAGGGCCCAGCACTCACTCTGGTCAACAGAGAGGACCCCACCATGCATGTGACAGGCCTTACGTTTTTCCAGGGGACTCCTTCAGCCAGAAGATGTCATCGCTTGTGATTCCATATTCCAAGGCACCTTCGATCTGTCAAGAAAGAAATGACCCCTGCGACAAGAGCTCCATTTGGCCCGTCCTGGGGCTTCCTTACAGAGGACGCCAGCTTTGCAGACTTGGACAGCGCCGTCCCAGAGCACGCACGCACAGGGGCTTCCCTGCTGCCAGTCCTTGTCTGCAGGCTGTGGCTTCTTTGGGGCTGCAGGTGGCCTGTCTGCATCTAAGCTGCTGTGCTCCTGGGCCCGGTGCCCTTGCAGGATACCTTTCCCCTCTGCTCCCCGGGACCCTCCCCTTGACCCTGGTTCAGACCAGGACACAGGGCCTGGGGTAGGCACAGCAACTGCAGGGGCCACACAGGTGACAGCTGGGCCCCCTCAAGTCTGTCCAGATCCTGGACAGATATATCAGACAGACAGAGGCATGCAGCTCCAGGGAGCGGCACCTGGGCTTCCCCTCAGAGAGGGTAAGCAGGGAAAGCGGAGTCAGCCATCGGGGCCAGCAGAGCTCAGTGTGCCTGTGCGGCAGGGGTGGGATGCAAGGCCGGCGAGAGGAGAGGAGGCACAGGGTGTGAGTGCCACGGGCTGAGGTGTGCAGGGCCTGAGGGGCAGCTCTGAGGGCACCTGGCTGAAGCCAGAACAGACTTCACACTCTCAAATCAGACAGGTCACCTGAAGAGGGGCGGCCAAGCAGGTGGGGAGACCCAGGGTGAACGTCCCCTTAGCGGCCATGAGAACAGGATGTGCGGGTCCAGGAAATGGATCTCACAGTTTATGCTTCCAATTGGCAAAAAAAAATAAAGTCAGGAATTTCTCAAAAAAAAAAAAAAAAAAAAAAAGGAATTTCTCGGGTTTGCTCAAGAGAACCCGAAAGGTCTGGCAATCAAAGGGACTAAAACGCAAGCAAGTCTTGGCAGGCACCCTGGGAGGGCGTGGCAGGGAGGGCAGAGTGGCCCTGAGCTGCCTGCCCCTCAGGATCAGGAGCGCCTGCTGGTTCCCCTGTGGGCCCACAGAGCTATCAGCAGCACAGCAGGGCCAGGCCGGGGCCCCTCTGCAGGGCTTCCTGGTGCAGACCATGTACAGCTCTCCTCGGGGCCGCAGAGAAGCCCAGGTGACCGCTGGGCTGCTGGGAGCTGGCTGTGGCCTTCTTTAAGCAGAACCACCGTGAGCCCAGCTGCCAGGTCAGCGGATCACTTGGACCCTGTCTGCGGCAGCTGCCTTGAACAGCAGCACAGTGTCATCCTACAGAGCCACGCAGCTGCGAGCCCCACCTATGTGCATAAGCAACCTGCCCCCAATAGAGGCTGCTGTGGCTGCCTAGTGCCCAGAGAAGTCTCGTAGCCTCTAAGGACTGGGGGTGCTCATGCTCCTTGGGGCCCCTCCTCTCCCTGTTTCCCCAGTAAGCACAGGGTGAAGTGGAGGCTGGGGTCACATCCAAGAAGCAGCAGAACTTCCCCTTGCTCCGCCTCCACCAGACTGCCCCAGGGTCTAAGTCGGAGGTGGTGTCGCCCAGACCAAGGGACCCGTGGTCTTCGAGAGCGTGGCTGCAGCCTACTCAGAGGCTTAGAGCAGGCGGCACCCAGTTCCCCAGGAGACCCGTGAGGACTGGCCTCGGCCAAACCTCTCCACCCGCCCCCAGCCCCCACTTGTTTTCCCTGCAGCAGCTGCCCCCCCGACCCTGGGGCCCCTTCCTCAACTCTGCCCCCACAACCCACAAGACTGGGCCGGGAGTTATTCACCGCTGTTAACAACAGCGATAAACTGACAAAAACTGTGAGATTCAGAGTTATGGAAATTAACCACAGGCTTGTAGCAACATAGGGAGCAGTTAGTCGGGAAAAACGGCTGAAGCCGGGTGAGAACAGGAGCTCCAGGGTGTTTTCACTCACTCCAGCCCTGAAGAGTAACGGCCAGAGAGAGCAGAACCCAGCTGGGGTCTTTCAAAGCCCCTCCCAAAGAAGAGTCAGAGTCAGCATCTGACCCTGCCAGGGGTTCCCTAGAAGACCCCCTCAAAAGAGTCGTCTTGGCCGGGTGCAGTGGCTCACACCTGTAATCCAGCACTTTGGGAGGCTGAGGCAGGCGGATCACGAGGTCAAGAGATCGAGACCATCCTGGCCAACATGGTGAAACCCCGTCTCTACTAAAAAAAAAATACAAAAATTAGCTGGGTGTAGTGACATGTGCCTCTAATCCCAGATATTCAGAGGCTGAGAAAAAAGAATCGCTTAAACCTAGGAGGCGGAAGTTGCAGTGCGCCAAGATCGCGCCACTGTACTCCAGCCTGGGCAACAAAGTGCGACTCCATCTCAAAAAAAAAAAAGGGGGGGTCATCTTTATCCAGCCCCACTGGAGCTCAGCCAGGGCTAAAAGCCTCTCTCCGGGGCATCTGTCCGAGGCTTTCCTCACAGCTGCCTGAGGGATGGGTAACAGTTGGAGCCAACAAGAGACTGCCCAAAAAGCTTCAAAGGAAACGCTGAGGCATGAGATGTCCACTGGAGCTCTGCAAGGCTCCGGCATATTCCTGGGAACCTAGGCCAGGCGTACAAACAGCACTGGGCACACATCAGGAGGGACCAAGGAGGCCCTGAGGCCTCACCTCCGGCTGACCTTGCTCTGTGCACAGGCAGGAAGTGAAGGCCAGGGAAGAGCTGCCTGCTGCCTGCTGAGTGTGGAAGGCAGCCCCTCCGAATGCACACGGAGCCCTCAGCAAAGACCCGGAGAGTCCTTAGTTTAGAGAAATCGCCATGCAGTTATTAGCTGACCACTAAGCTAACCAAGTAGAGAGTCAGTGGCCACATACAATAAAGAGTAAGAGTCTACACACTTTGGGAGGCCAAGGCGGGTGGATCACGAGGTCAAGAGATCGAGACCATACTGGTCAACATGGTAAAACCCCGTCTCTACTAAAAATACAAAAATTAGCTGGGCATGATGGCGCGTGCCTGTAATCCCAGCTACTCAGGAGGCTGAGGCAGGAGAATTGCCTGAACCCAGGAGGCAGAGATTACGGTGAGCCGAGATCGTGCCATTTGCACTCCAGCCTGGGTAACAAGAGTGAAACTCCGTCTAAAAAAAAAAAAAAAAAAAAAAAGAATAAGGGTCTATAAAGTCAGTTCCAAAAAGTCACCAACTAAGCAGCTGAAACAACAGAATCCTGGGGCAGAGAGAGAATCTGCCACATTAAATTATTCGAAATGTTCAGCTTTTAATTAAAAAATTACAAGACACATGAAGAAACAAGAAAGCACGACCCGCATACACTGCTGGAAGGAATGTGAAATGCATCATTCTGGAAACAGTCTGAGGCTCCTTGAAAGGGTCAACATAAAGCTACCACGTGACATGGCAGTTCTGCTCCTAAGTGTAACCCAAGAGCAATGAAAAGTGAAGTCCACCAAAGGCTTCTGTGCAGATGCTCACAGCGGCACGACTCACAACAGCTGAGGAGCGCGAACGATCCCTGTGTTCATCCACGAGCAGACGGATAAACAAAACATCGTCTACCCATACGACGGAACAGTATCTAGCCACAAAAAGGGATGGTGCTGACACGCGCTACCATGTGGGTGAACCTGGAGGATGCTATGCTCAGTGAAGTACGCCAGTCACCAAAGGACACACGTACGATTCCAGCTCCACGAGAAGGACGTACACGTACGATTCCACTCACACGAGGTGCTTAGTGTCGTCAAATTCACAGAGACAGAAAGTAGGTGGTGGTTGCCAGGGGCTGGGGGAGGAGGTGCTGGGGAGTTAGGTTTAATGGGAATAGAGTTTCACTTCGGGGACGATGGAAGGAGTTCTGGCCATGGATGGTGGTGACTGACGGCCGCGCAGCTCTGTGAATGTACTAAAAACCACTGAATTGTACCCTATAAAAGTCTGAATTTTATAGCGTGTGGAATATTTTTTTAAATTCAGGGAGGAGAAGGAGGATGAGGAATGAGGCTTATATCCTGAATGTTGCAATCGCTCTGAGGCTGAAGGGAAAAGGGGAATCAGCAATGGAAACTTAGGAAGCAGGAGGCGGGGATGGAAGGGGATGAATCCAGCAGGGCCCAGGGGGAGAAGAGAACGAGAACTGGCCTGAGGATCTGGTGGCATGGAGGCCACTGGGGACCCCGCATTTCAGCAATGTGGATTCAAGAGAATTGGAAAACAGAAAATGGTGATAGTGAGCATAGGGGAAAAGGGTGTGCAAGCCGCTGGTGTGGGAAGCACGTGTGTAAAAGTGCATCCCTCAAAGAGCCTGGGGATGGGCCAGTGCAGCAGGGATGCTGTACTCTGGGGATACTCACGTGTGCGGGGTACCTCGGCCGCCCTCCAGTAGCGATGACAATGTGGTCAGCTGATAGCAGAATCTGAGAAGAAAGCGAAAGCCGTGGGTCACACAGATGCATAGTGGTCACACACCAGAGGGCCTGAGCACCGCAGACCATGGCCAGCAGTTCCCATGGCCCCTGCCCTGCAATGTGGAGCTTCCGCCAGCAGTTCAGAGGCCCCACGGAGCTGGAATCCCATCAACAGGCAGCTGGGTGGGAGGGGGATAGGCAAAAAGGACAGGCGGACGTCCTAACTCCAACCACTTCACAGTGTACAAAGCACCCTCAAATCCCCACAGAATCCTGCAAACAGTCTGGGGTCACAAACCCCGTTGCCATGTCACTCCAAGGAGCGGGGCAGCAAAGCATTTGATCATTTTAAAGACACATGCCCAGCCTCAAAGGAAGCCATCTTTTCGATTCTAACAGCACGTGTTACTGAGGACAGCACCCAGGACAAACACAGCTGCAGTTGGTGCCCCAGGTCTGCAGAGGGTCCACGAGGAGCCAGCAAGTGAGTCAGAGACTCACCTCTTTCCCACCTTTGGCAACACCACGGACTGTGTGCTTGTCAACAAAGCCAGCTTTGACGTTAAAGTACTTGACTTTTCTGAAAGATAAAGATTAGATTCTCAAACATTTCCTCTGCAAATTAAACCTCATCAGTCAGATCAATTACGGAGCAGGGTAAAAGGGAGCTCCAGCCCTCAGCAGGGCCTGGTGCTGCGGCCCAGGTGGGGCAAGAGGCAAGTGGCCATCCCGCTGAGAAGCATGGAGGGGATGTGGGGGCACCTCGCCGGTCCCCCAGAGATCCCAGCGACATGTTGACCACAGGTGTCCAAGCAGAGACAGAGGCCAGCTCAGCACAGTCCTGAGAGGCCACGTACAGCCCTGGTGTGCAGCGAGGGGTGGCTGGACCTCTCTTGGGGACAGTCCTTACCACCTAGACATGTTCCAGCAGGGAGCTGTGGCACCCACCAGCTGGCATCGCATTCTGCCTTCAGGGGTGCAGTGACACCAAGAGAATGGGCATGACAAGGCTGGCGAAATGGTGGCTGGGCGCATGTGCACAGGAACCAATGACCTACACTGCTTTTTTTTTTTTGAGACAAGAGTCTCACTCTGTCACCCAGGCTGGAGTGCAGTGGCATGATTTTGGCTCACTGCAACCTCCCTTCCTCCCAGGTTCAAACATTCTCTTGCCCCAGTTCTCGCCTCAGCCTCCCGAGAAGCTGGGATTACAGTTTGCACTACTATTCTGGCTAATTTTTATATTTTTAGAAGAGATGGGGTTTCGCCATGTTGGCCAGGCTGGTCTTGAACTCCTGACCTCAGGTGATCCACCCACCTCAGCCTCCCAAAGCGCTAGGATTACAGGCATGAGCCATACGCCCTGCCCTTTTTTTTTTTTTTAAGAGACAGGGCCTCACTCTGTCACCCAGGCTGGGGGGCAATGGCACGATCATAGCTCACTGAAGCCTCCTCTCAAGTAACTGGAACTCCAGGCATGGGCAACCACACCTGGCTAGTTCGTTTTATTTTTTGTAGAGATGGGGGTCTCACTATGTTGCTCAGGCTGGTCTCCAACTCCTGGGCTCAAGTGATCCTCCCACTTTAGCCTCCCAAAGTGCTGGAATTACGGGCATAAGCCACTGCACCCGGCCAACACCTCCTAATGACAGAAAGGCCATGCTGCAGCAAGGGTTCTGGGAAGGCTCCGCCTCCTGCTTGAGCCTGCCTTCTCCCCACCCACGCCCTGTGCCTCCGTGGGCTGTCTAAGCCTTCGTGGGCCGTCTAAGCCTCCATGGGCGGTCTAAGCCTCCGTAGGCCGTCTAAGCCTCCATGGACGGTCTAAGCCTCCGTGGGCTGTCTAAGCCTCCGTGGGCTAAGCCTCCGTGGGCCGTCTAAGCCTCCGTGGGCCGTCTAAGCCTCCGGGCTAAGCCTCCGTGGGCGGTCTAAGCCTCCGTGGGCCGTCTAAGCCTCCGTGGGCTAAGCCTCCGTGGGTCGTCTAAGCCTCCGTGGGCGGTCTAAGCCTCCGTGGGCCGTCTAAGCCTCCGTGGGCTAAGCCTCCGTGGGCCATCTAAGCCTCTGGGCTAAGCCTCTGTGGGCCGTCTAAGCCTCCGGGCTAAGCCTCCGTGGGCCATCTAAGCCTCCGTGGGCCATCTAAGCCTCCGGGCTAAGCCTCCGTGGGCGGTCTAAGCCTCCGTGGGCCGTCTAAGCCTCTGTGGGCCGTCTAAGCCATGTGAAGCTCTCGCAGCAATCTCACAGCAAGAACCCTTCAGTCACAGGACAGCCAGGAAGCAGCTATGGGACACAGCCACACGATGCTCATGGCAGCACTTTTCAGAAGAGTGAAAAAGCAGAAAGAGCCAAAGTGCGCCCCGGACTCCTTCTACAGGTGGCTCTGGGGCAGGCAGTGGGCTGGGCCTGTTTGGTGCCTGCCCAGGAGCTGCATAGGGCAGGGAGGAAAGAGGGCAGAGCCTGCTGCCCCCAGAAAACTGTACCAGGGGATACAGATCCCCACAGAGAAACGCAGAAACTCCACAACACAATGTGGCTTAGCTCCCTGGATGGGGGAGAGCTCGTGAGGCCCAGGTAAAGGGCAAGCAGTTGGCTTCCTGGCTCTGCTCTCCTGAATTTAATGGGCACAAAACTGCTCCCCGCTGTGAAGCCCCAGGAAGATCCCCCTGGAGCCAGGCAAATGGTGCACAAGAAGAGCCATCGGACCTGTGCAGGACCAGTGTCCCCTCCACAGCCCACGGGCACAGGCAGGGTCACAGCCTTGGGAGAAAGCCTGGGAGGCACTGGGAGGCAGTGCCAGATTCAGGCACCTGCTATACTGGCAGCCGAGCCCCAGGAGGAGGCTGCAGGCCATGGTTGCATTGGCCTCTGTGCTGGGGATCCCCCAGGAGCTGACAGGAATGGCGACCAGATAAGGACATTTGCTCCAGTAGAAAGCACCAGGCCCCTGCAGCCACACCCAAGGAGCTGGAGCTGTGTAGTAATGGGGGGGTTCACGGGGTGGAGGCTTACGACTAGGATGGCCCTCACCACACTATCAGCCCCAGGCGCAGCCATGTCCATGCTCTCTGGCCTGAGGCCTCCCAGCCCCAAGTGCCTCCTCCCTATGCAGCCCTGGGCTCCGGCCATTCTGCCAACGTGGCCTCACTCATTCCTTGGCACCTCCAGGCTCTGCTCAGCAGCAGAGGGCAGGCTCCCCTTCCCCTGCGGTCACTCCCACCCATCCTTGTCCTCGTCTCTACCCACGAGCAGGGACCTGAACCCCCAGAGCCTGCCAGGGCGTGCTCTGCACAGTCAGTAAGTGTGTGTCCAGGCACAAAATGCCCAAGAAAAGGCCCAGAGTGCGGCCCACTCCCCAAGGGAGCTTCAGTACCTATCGTGTAGCTGGACACGGTGGCCCCAGTTCAAGGATTTCACGTGATTTTGAACAGCTTCTGCCATCTTCCTCCTGTGAACATATAAAACAAAATATAAAAGAACAACACAGGTGTTAGCTGCAGAGTCTCACAATGGACTATTAGATTCAGATGTACAGCTGGGCACGATGGCTCACGCCTGTAATCCAAGCACTTTGGAGGCCAAGGCGGGCTGATGTCTGAGGCAGAGGGCAAGGAGTCACCCCTGGCTGAGAAACCCATCCTACGGCACACTCCCTGGGAAGGTTCACGGAGGATAAGCCTCCTCTTCCTCCTCCACCCAAGAGTAGCAGAAAAGCACCCGAATGCCACGGCGCCGGGTCCCTACCAGTCATGCGGCACGGGCTGGGCCACCTCCCAGCCATAATGGGGGGCGTCTCGGATCAGACCCCCCAGTAGCGCCGCCTGGTGCATCAGCTTCTTGGGAATGCAGCCAACGTTGACGCAGGTGCCACCAAGGCCCCACCGGGTGCCTGGGAGGGGGAGAAGAGCACATCTGAATTTACGTTCAGGTGACTACTGGAGACTTCCCTGTTCTTCTAGGGCATCTGGAATTCCTGACGTTGTTTTGTAACTCTAACAGGGCCAGCTGACATGCCACACGAATGTGATCGCTATTTTAATTAAAAATAAAAATAGCCTGGGTAACAAGAACGAAACTCCGTCTCAAAAAAAAAAAAAATTAATTAAAAATAAAAATAAAAATAGGCCAGGTGCGGTGGCTCACACCTGTAATCCCAGCACTCTGGGAGGCCGAGGCAGGTGGATCACCTGAGATCAGGAGTTTGAGACCAGCCTGGCCAACATGGCAGAAACCACGTCTCTACTAAAAATACAAACATTTAGCCGGGAGCGGTGGCATACACCTGTAGTTCCAGCTACTCAGGAGGCTGAGGCACAAAAACTGCTTCAACCTGGGTGGCAGAGGTTGGCAGTGAGCCAAGGTTGTGCCACTGCACTCCAGCCTAGGCAACAGAGCAAGGCTGTTTCAATTTTTTTTAAAAATTTAGTTCTCACTTCTGTCATCTAACCTGGAGTGCAGTGGTGCAATCATAGCTCACTGCAGCCTCAGACTCCTGGGCTCAAGTAATCAAGGTCTGCCTTGGCTTCCCAAAGTGCTGTGAGTACAGGTGTGGGCCACTGTACCCAGCCAGAGTTGTTTTTGAGAATGGTGAAGAACTTTAAAGTAATGATGTATGAAACAGGACACTGTCCAGAGACCACGGATAGCAGGGCTGAGGGACTTTGGCGTCAGCTGCCTTCTGTACAAGAACCAGGCCCACCTCCCCTCTCCTTCCCCAGGACACCCGGCTCCCATAGGTGCTGCCTACCTCGGGGAGAAGGTTCCACATAATCCACCACAGCCACCTTCCTTCCCAGCTGGGCAGCTGAAAGGATAAGGAGAGGGGCAGGTGAGCACAGGGGAGCTGGCTCAGGACCCAACGAGAACAGGCGCTCCTCGGGGCCTGTGAAGTCCACAAGAGCATGGCCAGGGCCTGGGCCTGCGGCTGCCCACAGTGGCTAAGTGGCGCAATACTAGGGCCCCTGATCTTCCTCAGTGCCCTGGCCAGCTGAGCTGTCCACCTGCTGGCTCTGCGCTGTCTCTCAGCCTCCTGCTGCCACTGCCCACCCAGGTGTGCTGCCCACAGGCAGGTGCCCTCAGACCTCTCTGGGCCTGCAGCCTTTGGACTACGCCTGTAGTTCCAGCTACCCCTCACACTGCTGGCATCTGCAGTGCCACACAAGCCCAGTATCCACCCAAGCATCCCTGGGTGACATTCCCTAGGTAGCCAGCCCACTGAGAATGGCTCCTGACTCAGAGGCTCTCCCTTGCCCCTTTCCCAGCACAGCCAGAGCCCCCTAGATGGGTACTGGCTGCCTCACCCTCAGGACCAGGACACCAAAGCTCAGAAGTGACACAGCAGCCCCAGGGTGGGCCAGCCCCAGAGTGAGAGCCGAGACCTGACTCCAAACCACACTTCCTGCTGCAGAGCCGCCCAGCGACCCTACCGGCCATCAGTGGGGCCACCCAGGGCCACGGGGTCTGAAGCCAACTCAGAAACCATTAGCCAAGACCGGGTACGGGGGCTCACACCTGTTATCGCAGCATTTTGGGAGGCTGAGGCAGGTATATCACTTGTGGGAAGGAGTTTGATACCACCCTGGCCAACATGGTAAAACCCATCTCCACTAAAAATAAACATGGTATATATGTACTTATGCGACAATCCTGCAGGATACTGGATGCGCACATGTACCGCAGAGCCCAAGTACAGTAAAAAAATAAAAATTAAAAGATTAGCTGGGCATGGTGGCACATGCCTGTAGTCCCAGCTACTCGGGAGGCTGAGGCAAGAGATTCATTTGAGCCCAGGAGGCAGAGGTTGCAGTGAGCCGAGATCGTGTCACCCCACTCCAGCCTGGGTGACAGTGCAAGACTCCGTTTCAAAAAAGGAAAAAAAAATTAGCCAGGGCTAATTTCAAGCTTCCCTTTGGCTGGGCTTGGATACTACATTGGCAAACTTCAGGCCCTGAACTCAACTGACCCCAGGGCACGTGTAAATCTCATGAACCCTAAAATGCTACAGAATGTGTTCAATTCATGGCTATCATAAAGCAAGATTAGAACAAAGTTTTGTAAGAGTTCATTTTAAAAATCCGTTTTGCTCACTGAATGAATACTGGGATTCCCTGGCTCAATTTAAAAGCTCAGGCCTTGGCCTTCAAAAAGCTAATGTCGTCCAGATGCAGTGTCTCACGTCTGTAATCCCAGCACTTTGGGAGGCCCAGGCAGGCAGATCACCTGAGGGCAGGAGTTCAAGACCAGCTTGGCCAACATGGTGAAACCCTGTCTCTACTAAAAATACAAAAATTAGCAGAGTATGGTGGCAGGGTCCTGCAGCCCCAGCTACTCAGGAGGCTGAGGCAGGAAAATTGCTTGAACTCAGGTGGTGGAGGTTGCGGTGAGCGAGATAGCGCCACTATACTCCAGAATGAGTGACAGAGTGAGATTACATCTCAAAAAAAAAACAAGCTCATGTCCACAAGGTGCAGTAGCTCACATCTGTCATCTCAACACTTTGGGAGGCCAAGGAAAAGAGATGGCTTGAGCCCAGGAGTTTGAGACCAGCCTGGGCCACACAGCAAAACCCTGACTTTACAAAAAATATAAAAATTAGCTGCGTGTGGTGGTGTGCACCTGTGGTCCTAGCTGCTCAGGAGGCTAAGGTGTGAGGATGGCTTGAGCTTGGGAGGTGGAGGCTGCAGTGAGCCGAGATTGTGCCACTGCACCCCAGCCTGGGTGACAGAGCAAGACAGCATCTCAAAAAAACAAAAAGCCAGTGTCCAACTCCCACACCTGACCGTGACGGAGCAGCAGAGCCCAGATTCACCCTCCCCCGGAGGCAAACCCAAAACCCAGGTCAAATGCATGAAACAACAGGCTTTGAGGCTCTGGACATCAGGCAACGAAGGACCTGAGAGGCAGGAAACAAACATGGTGGGCCCTGGGGAGTCTCCAGGACCCAGCGCTGCAGGCTGGGGGAGGCTGGGGAGAGGCCAGCGCAGGACAGGACTGAGAGCCTGGGAAGAATGAGGCGGCCAGCGGTCACTCAGAGAAGACGGTGAGGGGGCGCTGCCCAGAGGATCTGGGAGACCTGATTGGCGCATGTGTCTTGGGGAGCTACCGACAGCAGGGACAGAACCCCCTGGAAGGGCTAGAGGGGACCGTGCCCACACAGGGCAGGGGACAGTGCCTGTTCCGAGAAGCCAGACTGGGAAAAGCATATTATTCTTGGGGCATTGGGTCATGCCTCCGTAGCTGAGAATAATTAGCCCTGGACTGGGCGCTGCTCCACATACACCTAAGAAGTCTTTTGCTGAAGACCCAAAGGGGTCAGACTGACTCTTAGCAACAACTGCATCCCAGAACAGAGCTCGATATTTCTAGAAATACAAAAATCTCCAGAACCCAGCAAGGCAAATTCAAGCGTCTGCCATTCAACCAGATATTACCAGTCACACAAAGAAGCAGGAAAAGACACCTACAGAGGGGGGGAAAAAGTCAGTCAATGGAGACTAGGAAGTGACACGGATGTCAGAATCAGCAGAAAAGATCAATAAAACAGGCATTCTAACTAGTCCATATGTTTTCCTTTTTATTTCCTTGGTTAGATGCCTCAGTTCTGTGCCCTATCTGCACCTTACCACATATGATAAACTATCTGCTCATGTGTCTGTCTTTTTTTTTTTTGCCAATCAGTTTGAGCTCATGAAGTTGCTCAGGTTAGCCTTGAACTGATGACCTCGCCTTCGCGAGCGCCATGACCTCCGGCGGGAGCCACTTTGGACCCCTCACATGTCTGTCTTGGTAACTAAACTGAACAACTCCATGAGTCAGGGGTTTTGTCCTGGTTTGTGTTTGTTGTTCTGGGTCCCGGCCCAGAGCTTGGACCACATTAAGTATTCAGATGGTTTGCTGAAGAAATTAACATGTGGAAAACAAGCCTTCCGCACAGAACACTGTTCCTCCTTCATTGTTCAAGATCCCAGACCTTTGGGTCACTTTTTCCCTGGCTACTCCCTACCGGAAATTCTCTCTCCTGCCTTCGACTTCAGGGTGGTTGTATAAACCTCTGATGCATCCCAGCTCGCACTATTTGGTAGCTACTTCTCAGTCACCCAGACTGAAGAGCACTGGCACAATCTCGGCTCACCGCAACCTCAGCTCCAGGGTTCAAGCAATTCTCTTGTCTCAGCCTCCAAAGTAGCTGGGATCACAGGCATGTACCACCATGCTAGGCTAATTTTTTTGTATTTTTAGTAAAGAGGGGTTTCACCATGTTGGTCAGGCTGGCCTTGAACTCCTGACCTCAGGTGATCTGCCCGCCCTGGCCTCCCAAAGTGCTGGGATTACAGGCGTGAGCCACCGCGCCTGGCTGGGAAGGATCTTTCATGCAATGTGTTCTACCTACTCACCTTAAGTTTGAGTCTCCTTCATCACACCCTTACCTAGGCCTGGTACCTTTGTCTGGAAATGTACTGCCTTCCCAAGTGGCCATTTAATTGTGGGAACTCTCCCAATATGAAATTCTTCCTCGTATTCATTGGAAATGTTTTCCTGTAACTCTTAACTATCTCCACCCCGTCTCCCACATGCCCACTCTTTAAAATTTAAAACCATTTATTTTTTTTCCTTCCCCTTAAATTTTCTCCTTTTAATTCCTTCAGTGATGAGTTTCCAGGCTAGATCCCTTCAACCAGGACAGTTTCGGTCACTTCTCTCCAGATGACCCACCTTTCCAGACCTCTGTTTAGAAGGGACTGCGGTGCTCCCAGTAGGAAGGCTAAGGCCATAGAAATAGCTGGCAACTTGTCCCTGGCTCTGGGTTATATCAGCCTTGAATTTGGTCACGTCAAACATCTGACTTACAGAAGTTAACACAGCAGGCTGGGCGCGGTGGCTCACGCCTATATTCCCAGCACTTTGGGAGGCTGAGGTGGGCAGATCACCTGAGGTCAGGAGCTCGAGACCAGCCTGATCAACATGGTGAAAGCTTGTCTCTACTAAAAATACAAAATTAGCCAGGTGTGGTGGCAGGTGCCTGTCATCTCAGCTACTCGGGAGGCTGAGGCAGAAGAATTGCTTGAACCCAGGAGGCAGAGGTTGCAGTGAGCCAAGATCGCACCAGTAGGCTCTGGCCTGGAGATAGAGCAAGATTCTGTCTCAAAAAAAAGAAGGCAAAATAAAGCTGAAAGAATTCATTATCGGCCGGGCGCGGTGGCTCAAGCCTGTAGTCCCAGCACTTTGGGAGGCCAATGCGGGTGGATCACGAGGTCAAGAGATCGAGGCCATCCTGGTCAACATGGTAAAACCCCATCTATACTAAAAATACAAAAAATTAGCTGGGCATGGTGGCGCATGCCTGTAATCCCAGCTACTCAGGAGGCTGAGGCAGGAGAATTTCTTGGACCCAGGAGGCGGAGGTTGCGGTGAGCCGAGATCACGCCATTGCACTCCAGCCTGGGTAACAGGAGCGAAACTCCGTCTCAAAAAAAAAAGAAAAAGAATTCATTATCACAAGAGTCATATTACAAGAAATGCTACAGGACGTCCTTAAGATGGAAGAAGATTACCAGACGGAAATGTGGTCCTCACAAAGGAAAGAAGAGGACAGAAATACATGGCTGAGTATGTGAGAGCTTCTCCCACTGTTTAAGTATATTTTAAACAAAAACAATGAGGTGCTGTGGATTTATAACATATAACAATAAAACGCATAATAACACAAAATGAAGGTTTAAAGGGTAGAATAAAAGCACGCTCTTTTAAGAGTAGATTGACAAGTTAAGGTACATGCCATAAACCCTAAAGCAACTCAAAATAAAT